CGTTGCGGTAGTAGATTTCGCTAAAGGCAAAGTTATTGACTTCTACAGTTATTCGCACCTTATGTGCGTCATTCTTGTCTACTGTCTTCGGCATTAGCGCTCGTACACTTCAGACTACGCGCAAAGGTAAGAAGTTCCAGAATGAACATCATCTGTGTTCCTAGTTGATTTTGAGTCCAAGCCCTTCGGGATATGTGGCACAAGTTCAGATTGCAGGTTAATAGTGGTAAATATTCGCAATACACCCATGCTACACATATCGAAATTTCGCGTGATTAGATCCAGTAGGAAAGGAGTTGCGGCTGAAAAGTATGACTGAAGAAGCATTTCACCGAAGGCTTTTGAGCGCTACTGTACGTCCGAACCAGGATGGGCAAAAAAGCTCTGCGACGTAAAACTCGAAGAGTTCAAAGTTTGCATAAACAGGATACCATTATTAACCTGCAATCTGAACAGTATGGGCAAAAAAGCTATGCGACGTAAAACTCGAAGAGTTCAAAGTTTGTATAAACACTGTGAACATGGTAGCAGGGGTGAACTACTCGCACGAGGACATTTTCATGGCAATCAAATATGATTAAACATGGGCACGCTGCCATCACCTTCTACTAAACATTCTGATGCAGAAATATCGCAACTATTGGATGGTAGCACTGATCACCGACCACCGCACTGATCACATCCACTATGAGCTGCTAGGAGCAGACTAGATAGTCACAGATGTCTCTCAACCTTGTGAACCTCCTGTATTTGACCAACGCGGCATCAGAATGACGTCCAAAACTATATTTTTGGTCCCTACAGAAGGGCACCGCACCGAAATTTTGCTTCAGACACTTGTTAAGATTTCACCGGACTGGGTTCATCCCATGTTGTTCATCATTCGTACCCTCAAAAAGTTGTACCTTTTCAATACTATGTCTTCAGCCTTCACAAGCGTTTTTTTCAGAGGCACTAGTGTTTGCGTAGAGGATAAGAGAAGATCGGTGATCTTCTTGATGAGCATATTTCTAAAATTCGAGTGATCTGGAAAATTTTACAAAAGAGTTCAAAATGGCCTCCATCCTGCCGCAGGACTTTTTTGCTAGCCTATGGGGTTTGCATCTACTCGTTGGGGTGAACTCCGCGCAGTCGCAAGGCTTGCCAGAGCCAGAGTCGACCCTTCTCATTAGGTGCTGCCACCTCCTTCAATCTGCGGCATATTTATCTCATGTTCTGTCACTGTCACTCTTGGTTATGGTATGTCTTGATGCACTGTCGGTTGAACAGGATACCACTGAATGACTCCCATGCCAACCATGACGACTTCATTCAGATCATCACAACCTGATTCATGCTACCGCCGTCAGCAAGCCAGGCCATTCCTCACTCTACCTAGTTATCGCAATTCCTGAAATCTTCCTATATCTTCCCTAAAGCAGTCTATGACTGAATCTGCACACCCCTTGGATATAAGGATCTAGGTTTCACTCCACCCTTTACTTTTAGCTGCAGACCATTCTCGTCCATCACTTTCCACATTTGTGCAAATTGTCCTTGGATCTCAACTTTTTTTCGATACCAGAGTGTTGTCATCAGCGAAGGGGATTGTCTTCAGTAGTCTATCCATGTACCCTTTTCCAATGACATCCAGTATTAGCAGAAAGAGAAACGAACCAAAGCTGAGTCTTGGTGAATTATAGCAAGACACAGTTGCTTTTGCTAAGTCGGGAAAGAAGCCCAGAAGATCACCTCTAGGGAGAACGGATGTTCCAGAATATTCCTCGATGCGCTTCTCAAAGGATTTATCGTGGTACGCGGTCTAGCGCATTCCCCAGTTTGAAAGAGGTTAGGTAACAGGGTTTGCGCTTCTCCGTTACTTTTCCATCAATTGTTTTAGAACCTGGGGGCACGAAGCCAAATGTCGCTCTGAGATGGGGACAACTTCTCTTAATAATGCGACAACCCCTGGAGCAGTTTCATGGTATGCGCACCCAATGATTGTGCGACATTTGAATCATTCGATTACTTCCCCCGTTCATTTGTAGACGGGGTCAACTATTCACAGTGTTCAAGAAGGTGATGGGTCACTTAACCCCCGCACCTTCGAGCGTTAAAGGATTACTTGACCTAAATCAACCGCTTTTCTAACACTCATTGCCCCTCTTGCTGGTAGGACCTCATTTTCTTAACACACAGGGTCTGCTGCTGTTCCTATAAGATCTCTTATTGTAGCCGTCCCTCCTTTCTTTGTCGAACTCTCCGATAAATACCTCATCGGAGTAATCTTCCCAGCTGCGTCTTACCTCAGCTGACCTTCGTGTAAAGGATGGACCCCAGAACAGTTCTCCAAACTATTGATCCACATATGTTAGCCCTATCTATTTCTGCTTCGTGATCACCTTTCTGATCAATTTATTTACTATCTACTCCCGCGTGATCAGAACTTTTGGAGCGCAGTACTCCTATACAGTGTGTTTCAAATGTATGTGCACACCAAACATTTTGTTTTCTTGGGAATACCAGTGCTTTCTGTAACCTATGACAGTCACCATTCAATTCCTTGTGTGCGATAATTTACGAACACTTCTTCTGAGAGAACATTGCAGCTGCTAACACAATTTTTTTATTAAAGAATAATTTTTTCTGTGTTTCAAAAGTATGTGCACACTTAGCAAAAAACAAAAATATAACCGAGATCAGAAACCAATAGGGCATCCTAAATCCCTGTAAAGGTTATCGACTACGAGGAATCGTTTGAGAATGGTTTCGTTACGGTAGGTTCTTTAGTTACCTTGAAATGAAAATTTTTGAGTGTCCGCATACTTTTGAAACTTCAACTGGGCTCTTTTTCATGCATTGCTAAGCTCATTCGAGACCCTGGCAGCTATCGCTGACAACCTATTCCTGGCCGTCCACGTATTTTTGCTGCTCAGGACAACAAGAGAATAGCCCGTCTTGTGGCGAATACTTTCTTGTCTGTGAGTCAGATGCGAGCTCAAATGAGTTTATAAGTCTCGCGTGCGACCGTTTGGCGCTCTATCCGCTCTGATGCGTATATCACACGAGAGGCGATGAAGCAGGCTACTCGACTCAATACTCGCCATAAGCTGACAAGGCTGGAGTTTGCCCGTGGGAACATGGCAACATCATGGATTAAGGTACGGTTGTTCGAGAATTTTCAGGATTTTCCTGTTTTTAGAACAAACAACGTGTTGTACCCATTTTGTTCCTAGCTGATCTGCTCTGATGTAAAGAAGTTCAATCTCTATGGGTCGGATGGATTTCATCATTACTGGAAGGACCTTCGCCGAGAGCCACTTGTGTTTTCGAGAAGGAATTTCGGAGGAGGCTTTTTGATGGTTTGGGCGAGCAAACGGCAGCCTTGTCAGCTTGTGGCGAGTACTGAGTCGAGTAGCCTTCTTCATCGTCTCTCGTGCGATGCACTCACCAGAGCGGATAGAGCGCCAACCGGTCGCACGCGAGACTTATAAACCCATCTGAGCTCGGATCTGACTCACAGACAAAGAAGTATTCGCCACAAGACGGGCCATTCTCCTGTTGTCCTGAGCAGTCAAAATACATGGACGGCCAGGAGTAGGTTGTCAGCGATAGCTGCCAGGGTCTCGAATGAGTTTAGCAATGCATGAAAAAGAGTGGCCCATTTGAAGTTTCAAAAGTATGTGGACACTCAAAAATTTTCATTTCAAGGTAACTAGAGAACCTACCGTAACGAAACCATTCTCAAACGATTCCTCGTAGTCGATAACCTTTACAGGAATTTAGGATGCCCTATTGGTTTCTGATCTCGGTTATATTTTTGTTTTTTTCTAAGTGTGCACATACTTTTGAAACAAAGAAAAAATTTTCTTTAATAAAAAATTGTGTTAGCCGCTGCAATGTTTTCTCAGAAGAAGAATTCGTAAGTTATCGCACACAAGGAATTGAATGGTGAACGTCACAGGTTACAGAAAGCAGTGGTATTCCCAAGAAAACAAAATGTTGGGTGTGCACATACTTTTGAAACACACTGTATAAGTGTTAGTTTTGTCACTTTGTGAGTTCGTCTATCACGAGGATTGTTCGTCTACAACTTCTTGCCACAGAAGTAGCGCCCTACCGCTATATTATTATACCGGCACGTCCAAATAAATTGTGAGTTTAACTTCTAGCTCGCCTACCAGTTGCACTCATACACGCACACCGGAGCACCCTAAGCCCCATTATATGGGGGCCGAAGCGATTTGGCTCGGTAAATAAGGTAGGTTTAGGGCAGTAAGAAGCCAAAGAGTCCCCAGGTTTCTGAAAAGCCTTTAGCGAGCCGTAGGACCGTTGATAGAGCGGCGGGCTTGAAAAGCTGCTAGACGGGCAGCCCCTACAAGTTGCGCTGTGCAGAGATCTGTCAGTGCACCCTGTGGGACAGAAGAAAACGATCTTTGCAAGGCAGACCGCTGCGCAGAAAATTGTTTTCTTAGCAGGACTACTGAGACTACCTCAATTGTTCCATCAGAACTCAGAGGATAGAATTCGATACCGAAAAGGTAGGATCGAACCAGTAGTTTATCGTTGGCTAAACGGAAACGAGACCTGTTTCAGAGACGCAATGAATGACGCAAGAAAGCAATGTCAGAGGACATGGAGAGAGAACTGGATAGGCTGCTGGAAGACACCAAAATGCAACAAGAACTGGCACAGCTCAGAGCACAAGTCCTACAACTAACGCAACAGAACCAGCAACAGGTGCGGTCTACAGTTACGCATTGCGTGTCGAGATTGACAAAACTGCTAGAAACGCAGAAAAGCATAGCAATCATGTTAGGTATGGGGAAACCACCTCACCAGAGGACCTGGAAAAGGGACTGTATAGATTACTAGAACCGGAGTGTAAGGCGATAAGGAAGTCGCTGGACCTCATTAATGAGTTAGCGGGCAGGGTTGTGCAAAAGGCATCACAGTCACATGAAAAGCACAGCGAAGAACTAGAAACTGTATTTGAACAAGCACAGCATGATGACAAATGCATGCGCGCACTGTCAAAGACGTTGAATGTTAGGTCCACCGAGGTGGTTAGAGTTGTAGGTAATCTGGTCGAACCGATCCAAAGAATGGGTATCGAACAGGCCCAAACTAGTGGGAAGCTATTGCCATCTAAAAAACCACTGCTCTTAGACATCCCTAAGTCCGCACAAACGTTTCTTTTACAGGCTCCTAGGTCCGCGGAGAATACGACTCCAATAGAGACAGATCACAGCGGGTCGCAGCAAGATGAATTCCGCAGAGCATGTCGTTTGCTCGGTGCTAATGACATATCGTCAGTCGCGGGACTACCACCTATGGAGTTTGATGCTGTCAGTGCAGCTCAAGGTAGGCGGTTCTCGAACCAAGGCGTCCTTACGGATGAAAGACAGTCTAACCGACAAGATTCATTACAGAGGAACGTTGTCGAGAACGAGCTCCACCAAGCTATGGTGCCACCCACGCCAACGCGGGACAACCGCCAAAGAGGTTGGTCTCCAGTTCATAGCGAAATGAGTTCTCGAATTGATAGTGGGGTGGGAACCGCACTGGCTGCCATGGCTCTTCCGGAGGTCAAAGAATTTAGCGACCCAGATGGTAAGGGGTTCACTGAGTTCGTAACGTCGCTCTCGATGAAATATGGCAGGATCGGCCTCCCAGACGATATGTTAATCCACCTTATGAGTGAGAAGCTTGTAGGGTATCCAAAAGCTGTCATGAAAACGCTCCCTATTGGAACCAAACAGGGCAAATTTGCCGATTTTGTGGCTGCTCTTAAAGCTAAGTTCGCCGAGAACACTTCAGCAAAACGGATGGAATCGCATGTTAAGTTAAAGCAGCTTACGATGTCAAAGTCTGTCACGGAATACTGGGTGCAGCTAGAAAGCTTAACACGGTTCTCAAACCCTAGTGCGTCAGAAACGGACTTATCAATGGTGAGAGCGAGTGAACTCATTTCACAACTCACCAATTGGCCTGAGTATTTCCAACTTTTTGCTGTCATGGAATCAGCAGCACCACACGAGGTCTATGAGAAGCTAAAGAACCTCGCCCAAGGAATTGAAAGAAGTAAAAAGATGGCGGCAGCGATGAGATCCGCCTCGGAAGTGAAGCAAGTGGACGACCGAAGGAAGCCGCGGCGACCTTGCTATTCACAAGACTACGGGGAAACACTGACCGAATGGGAAACATCCATATCCGTCCCCTAGCTAGCGGAGATTCGCCTCAAAACCCAGAGTCGGTGCAGAGTGGCACATCACTGCAGACAAATCGCAGACTCTGTCACATTTGCAAAAGGTCAGGGTACTTTCAAAGAGACTGTGGCAGGGGTAGGCAACGGAGTGAGCAAAGAATTGCGGAAAATGCTCAGTCGGCAGATAGGTCCCATATGGAACAGTCTAAACGCGTTTTCACTACCCTCCTGGAAAAATGGCCTTACCGTGCCACAGGGACGCGGCAACGTGAGAATGAGATGTTTGGCAGTAAAACCTTGTGCAACGTGCAACTCTCAGGGTAGAAAGCCTTGGTGGATACAGGATCCCGAGTAAGCATTTTGCCATCGCAAGTGCTGCTGGATGCAGCCAAGTCGGGTTTTGATCTTGACGCAGATGTAGAGGAAGTAACAGTGGATGACAAGATAAGCATCTACGATGGTCGCAAAATGGCATTCAAGGGTGCTGTGAGACTCAGCCTTGTACTGCAACAAGAACCCTCACGACGAGTAGTATTTTTCGTGAGA